AAAAAAAGGACAACGTAAGAACGGTAGGGAGCAGAAATGACTTATAAAGAATATCCTTTTTACCTGCTTCAATTTTTCTTCTTTTCTTTGCTGGAGAGTTTGGCATCTGTTACGACTTCCTCCAACAAGGCTGCTAGAGGTTCCTGAGAGCCGTAGGCTCTCTGGTATTCAAATTCCTCTGGGCTAATTTGACGGCAAAATGATGGAGCAGACGGAGTGATGTCCATGTCAGCTCCTGGGTATTTTATCTGAGGCAAAGGGATTATTAGTGAAAGTGCATTTTCAAATAAATCCCTAAAATTAGTTCAGGTCAAGTAGAGCGTATCTCCTCTTAGGGATGCTATGACGTTCCTCAATTTGGGAAAAACTCTACATTGAAAAGTAAAAGTGCTTCAATAACTTCAGGTTAAAAAAAATCACATAAAGCTGCAATTTTAAATATGAATTTTTACCCTTTTAACCCAAGAGCCATTTCAATTAGCAAAAAACTTTGTACCCTCTTCTAATCAGAGCTAAAATTTAGACATAAACTAAACATGTGGGCTAAAACAATTCAAAACACACAATATGAACTCTCTGGGTTCTTCTCACATCTGCAGGATCTGACCTTCCCTCCCTGGGGGATGGACCAGAGGCACAAATTTAACTCATCTTGTTATGTGGAGAGAAGTACTTACTGAACCCATCTCTAAACTGGGTAATGATGTGAAACATGTGAAAATAAATGTGCAGATACTGCACAGGGCAAAAGGCAGACTGGAGAAATGGGAAGGAAAAAATACCAAGATCTGTAAATGAAAGCATCCACTAAAAATATTTAATTTCAGAGTCCAAGAGGTTCATCTTCTCAAAAACAGAGCACCTACTGTTCTCTTGCAGTGGATAAAATTTCTACTGTTACATTCATGTCTTTGGTTTCAGATGTTTTTTTTCCTGAATCCACAGTTAAAAATAAATACATTGCCAAGAAGGGTTATTAACATGAAGGACATTCCATGCCTCAAGTTTACCAGATCAAGTAGAGACAACCTAAGAGAGACAGACCAGAACCATAAGGAAAAGGGGCATACACAGGACACTTCCTTTCTTATTTGAAGCAAGAAGTCTGAAAAAAGCAGAAAAGGGCCAGAATAAAGGGTGAGGCCCAGGTAAAATGTGACAGCTCGAAGCCTGGGACACAAGAAAAACACTAGATACCTATGATTAAAAGGCATACGAGGAAGAGGGCTGCAGACAAGGTCAATAAAAGATTGGTGTCGAAAACCAGGCTGACCTCACTGTTCATCTATGCCAGGGTCAGCCCTGAACCTGCCCCAGACAATTCACTAGGACAGTCCAAGTAACACTTGGTTTTCAGAGAGGAGACACCCCAAATGTCATATACGGGAGGGAGGGGGTGCTGAGTGGCCTGTGTGACAGAACAGAGATCTAAAAGCTCTGAGCGCTAAAACAAAGAACTGTTTGGCAATTCTACCGAGTATGTACTTCTAAGAGAAAACGTAACCAGACAATGGGGTAGTTACTGATTTTACCAGAGCCCTTGCAGTTCCCCAGCATAGGATCAGTGACCCTGTAGTTGAATTAATCATCATCGCTCAGCCTTCTGCTCTTCAGCCACCAGGGAAGGGCTCACGGGGCTACGCTCCTGCTACATGCATACATAAACCCAGCAAGGATGCAGGGTGACGGAGTTATGGCCAGCACTTCCTTGCCAAGATTCAGTGAATTATTTCTTTTCTTTTTTATGTTTTTATTTTTTAAGTTTGGCTTATAAAAATATCAGGGGAAGGTGGGAGAGTAAACCAAAACAGCAGTAAGATTATACTTCTCACTCATTAGTATGGCGAAGGTATGTATGTCAGTAGTAATATCAAAGGAGGCAAAAGTGTAAAGAAATGAACACTTTCTGATACGACTGGTGGGAATGTAAATTAGGACAATCACTCTAAAGGGAAATATGACAATATGCAATCAATGCTTAGCATACATTTGTGGTCTTTGAACACGCAATGCCACTCCTAAGAATTTATTCTTAGAAAATAATCACAGATCAACCAAAAAAAAAACTATAAAAAATATTTACTGTTTTAATGCCTGCAAAATAATTTTAAAAAACAGAAATAATCTAAATATCAACCAAAAAACCTATTTATATAAATAATGGTATATCCATATTATGAAATATTATGTTACCAATAATACTGATATTGTGGAATAATATAACAATGATGATGAGAATAACAACAGTGGCTACCAGATGAGGGCTGACTACATGATAAACACTATTCTAAGCACTTGACATTCAATCCCCAAAATAGCCCTAGGAGGTAAGTATTAACTATTTTTAGCCCATTGTACAGATGAGAAAGGAAACGCTGGGGCAGGTGCTAAAGCAGAGAGACGTTACATAACAGGCCAAAGTCACACAGAAATAAAGGGCACGTCAGAAATTCAAACACCATTTAGCTCCAGAATGCTCGTGGCCATTCTGTGTCAATCAAGAATATTTAATGATGTGGGAAATTTTTCTTGTTGTGTTGTTAAGAAAAAGAAAGTTATAAAAGAGAAACAAAAGAAGAAGGGAAGGAAGGAAAGGAGGCAGGGAGGGAACAAGGGTGGGAGAGAGGAGGAGGCAGAGAGGGAAACAGAAAAACAGCTAAAAGACAATGACACCAACTGAACATTTGGTGTTACTCTGATATTTTCTGGTGTGTTATTTTCTATATTTTCCAAATTCCTTTAATGTATTAGGTTAATAATTATCAAAAGTTAGGAAGAAAAAATTTATTTTAACTTGGAAATTGTACACTGAAAGCAGCTGAACAGTTATTCACTTTAATACTTTAAGAGGTAGTAGTTCATTGGTCCTTAATTGTGGAGCCTCAAAAAATGTGTGAGCCACTCAAAAAAAAAAAAAAAAGGAAAAGAGGTCCAATCATTCAAAGGAGCCAAACAGAGCTTCTGCCTGCCTTTACCAAAAATTTCTGCTCCCACTGCTCCCACAGGCTGACATACAAACACCACTTTGGGGCTCACATGATAGTAATGCATCACATTTCTTTTGCATCACTTTAATATAACAATAACAACAACATTCTAAGTGAAGTAAGCCAGAAAGAGAAAGAAAGATACCATATGAGATCGCTCATATGTGGAATCTAAAAAAACAAACAAACAAACAAAGCATAAATACAGAACAGAAATAGACT